AACTCTCCTCAGCACCTTTATGCAAGGCAAAAGCTAGTGCTTACTGGTTTCCAGTGTTCTAGGGTAGCCTTGGGTTGACTATGGAAATGGAGTCTGTCTCAGTGGAGTGCTTGTTTCTCTGAGTTAATGCATTTACTTTCTGTCTTCCTTTCTCTTCGGTATGGCCATCTGTCCTCTGATGTTCAGCTGCAGAATTCTCTGAAGACCGATTTGTGTCTTGATCAAGGGCCAGATACAGAGAATGTTCCCATCATGTACATCTGCCATGGGATGACACCCCAGGTGAGTCCTCTAATGATCTCTGTGCCAGCAGGTGTGCATGTGTGTGTCTGGTGGGGGAAAGAATAGCTAACCTCTGTCATGACGGCTCCCCACGGGCCTCTGGGCATTTTCATGAGGAAGTGTCCTCCAGAGCAGAAGAGGGTAGTCATACTTGTCCTGCCCGGAGGGAGGCTGGGGGAGGACACTAGGATGCCAGGATTCTCTGGGGCAGGGAGGGAGGAAAGAAGGGGATACATTTCCAAAGAGGAACAACTGCCTCCTTTGGGGAGATTATGGGTCAATCATATTTCCGGTTCTGGCAGCCCTTCCCTAGCAGGAGGGAGCTCGAGGGTTCCCCAAGCTCCCTGATATGTCAGAGTCCCTTCAGAGTGAATGCTGTTTCGTGATCTTCAGGCTCTGCCCTTTAGAAGATCATAGCTAGGGCTAGATTTATAGCCGTGGGACTCCATTCCAGCTTGTATGACCTTCTCCTGGTGGAGAATGTAGGGCAGCTACCAGGAAAATAAATGACCCTTAAAAATTCCCCATTTGTCGTCTAGGCTTCAGATACCCAAAGTGGATGCAAAGACACAGGCAAGAGAAATGGTTTATTCAATAAATAGACGACCATTCTATGCCGTAGACTAACCTGATCTGAACTAACATTCTCAGAGTCTACATATCTTAACTCCACAAGTTCACAATGATTTAAAAAAGATATTTTAGTGTATAAGATATGTATATTTGTGCCATTACAATTCTATGTTGAGTAGTTACCTGCCTAAGCACATGACTGAAAAATATCATGATGTATGTGTTACCTTATTTATGAATGATGAGACTTCCAGGTGATTATCCATTGTGATCCTACCACCTTGTCCTTTCTATGGGCTAGGTTGNAGACTTCCAGGTGATTATCCATTGTGATCCTACCACCTTGTCCTTTCTATGGGCTAGGTTGTTGTGACATCACTGGCTGGTCAATCGCAGGTCAGCAGATCACACTATTCCCATACCATCCAGTATAGCAACTCGTTTTTCACTATCACAATGGTGTGACATTTTTAATGGCTGGCTATATTTCTGTAAATGTTTTGTTGAAGTATATACAGAAAATAGACAAATTATAAGTGTGTATAGTTTAATGAATTTCTGCAGAGTGAACACACCCACATAACCATCATTCAGATCAAGAAAAAGATTATTACTGCCCGATTGTGAATTTTACGTAAATAGGATCATATGTTATACACTTTCTCATGTTGGCTTTTTTCTTTCTTTCATCATTTTATTTGTGAAATACATTTATGCTGTTATATATAGCTGTAATTTGTTCATTGCTATTACTATGTACTATTCTGTTTTATGAATAAGCCATAATTTACTGTCTGTTCTGTTGTTGAAGGACACTTGGGCTATTGCCAGTTTGCAAGTGTTGTGAATACTGCTGCCATGAACATCTTTGCTCATGACTTTTGGTGCCCATATATACTCATTTCTTTTGGATTTATACCTACGGGTAGAATTGCTGAGTCATAGAGTTGACATATGTTGTTCACTTTTAGTAGACTCTGCCTCTATTAGTCTGCTCAGGCTCCCAAAACAAAAACCACAGGCTGGGTGGCTTAAACAACATAAATTTATTATCTCACAGTTCTGGAGGCTTGGAAGTCCAAGATCAAGGGGCCAGCTGATACCATTTCTGTTGAGGGCTCTTTTCCTGGCTGTCTTCTCCCTGTGTCTTCACATGGAGCGGAGAAAAAGAGTGAGAATGAAAGAGAGAGAGAGAGAGAGAGAGAGAGAGAATGAACTCTCTGGTGTCTGTTTTTATAAAGACACTAATCCTATTGGACTAGGGCTCTATCTTTATTATTATTATTATTATTATTATTATTATTA